TATAGTCTCAATGTGTTGCTTAAGGTGGCCCCTAGCTCTCTATCCTCCCTCCTCAGTTCCCTAGGTAACTGGGATTACAGATATATGCCACTGGGCCTCACTGGTCTTTGATTATCCTTAGTTTAAGCCACTATGACACTGATTAGAAGCTTCAGAATATGACTAATTCTCTCTGAATACGAGCTTCTCTGGGTGATGTGGCTAGAACCCAATGTCAGGGTCTTAGTCAGGTGTGAGCTAGTCAGGTGTCCCAGAAAAAATATGTCCAATCCGCTGCCTGCAAGATGTAATCATGTTCCCACATTCTGGAGGCTGATTATTCTCGGAACTTTGTAATATTACTGCATTCCATTTCTGCTTCTCAAAGCTCACGAGGGTATAGGGATAGGTTCCACTTGATCATAGTGAATGGTTCTTTTAATGTGCATTAAATTCAACATGCATGTGTTTTCTTGAGGATTTTTGCACCTGTGTTCATTAGGGTTATTGGCCTGTGATCTTCTTTTTCTTGTATGTCTTTGTTTTGCTCAGTGTCAAGGTAATATTAGCTTTGTAAAATGATGGTTCCATTTTCTCAGGTTTGTCATCATTTACCCCATGCACCCAACATACTTCTGTAATTGTCCTTGTTCTTGTTTTTCTCACCCTTCCTGGTTTATATCATTAACATATCCAGGACTTTAGGAGGGATGGAAATAAAGGTATGCATTCAGTGTACCATCTGATCCAGAAATCACTATTTAGGTGTTGTCTCTCTTTATTTTTGGCTTAACACACTAGAAATTGGATTTAAATGAATTACATGCTTTGTCTTACTAGGGATTATAGTGACATTTGTCATATATCCTGCAGGTTAGAATCATTTCCTCACTCTTGATTGCATTTGGTTTTTATAATAATTTTGTGTGATAAGAAATATCATCCTTCATTTTTCAGTATGAGAAAACTGACATTTAGGGAGGTTGAATTCTATCCAATTTCCATTAGTTGGTAAGGAATCCCTATAGGACTCAAAACCAGATTTCCTGACTGTAAGTCTGATGTTGGTTGCTTGCATGAGACTCCTTTGGAAATAGTTTCTGTAACTAGAACTAATTAACCTGCAAGGCAGCCCCCTCTCTCGGGGAGGTTCTCTGGACTAGGAGCTGAAAACTACCTACTTTTACATCTCAAACATTTTGGTTCTGCCACCCTCAGCTATGTGCTATATATTTAACTTCTTTTCCTTAAGGCATGGCCTTAACTAGTGTATCCAGCTGTCATTAAGTTGTCGTGTATGGATGAAGGGTAGTGAGGTTTTAGAACTTCATGAACTCTCAGTCTCAAATGTTGGTTGAGTGTGGAAGCTGTCCTCGGTGGTGGCAGATAAGCTGTGAGTGAGACTGCAGGATTCTCAAGGAAGGATGGTAGTGACCGGTGGGAGGATGGTGGATGATAGCAACAAAGCAGTGCAGAGAGAAGAGTGTCAATCTGAGTAGCAGCATGAACTTCAAAGGGAGTGAAATATTTACCTCTGAGGAGTTGATAGATACGCAGAGGACAGCTTGGAGAAAGCCAAGTCTCTTGGTTTCTAGAAGAATGAGGTTTATTGCAGAATTAGAACATAAAGAACATAAAGAATCCAGGTATCAGATAAGACAATAAGGGGGAAGAAACACCGGGTATAAGGGAAGAGCGTGTAAATAAGGTAAAATGGAAAGATTCAGGATAAGTTAGAGAAAAGGAAAAAAGTAAGCTCAGAAGAGCTCAAAGGTGTGTACCTGCCCTTGAATCAAATTTTAAAAACATGTTTGTCTTCCCACCCTCACCCGCTGCAGAAGCTGTGGAGGGTAACAGCGAGGCAGTCGGTGCCTGGCTTTTATGCCCATGGAGAAAGTCTGCAGCATGCCCGTCCTCACCTGCAGCGTGCCCTGACTTGCCAACCCAGCCCATGGGGCTCTTTCTTGTCCGTGATCACCAAAGAGATTGGGTGAAGGATTTGGTCTGAAGCCAAAGCAAACAGCAGCTGAGAGCTATATAACATTTGGCGTCTGGCTCAGATGACTCTGGCGCCTTTCTAGCTAACCTCCTTTCGCCGCAGAAACTGTTTGGCGCAGTGAAAACAACTAACATTTGTGCAGTGCTTTGGGGTTTACCGGCCATTTCTATATACGGTCCTTCATTCTGTCCTTCCAGCTGGGAAGTTTTATGATTCCCATTTCACAGATGCATAAACTCCTAGCTCCATTCCCTATAACTGAGAGACTTTGAGTAAGTCATTAAGTCTCCCTGCACAGCAGCTTTCCTAGTAACAAAATGGCAGTAAGACCTGTCATAAAATTGTTTGAGAATAAAATAGAATTATGTGTGTATAGTACTTGAACAGCTGGTGTCATGTAGATGTATTTCTCCACTTAAGTGACTTATTTCAGTTGAAGTTCCTATTTGCTCTTGTCGCTGAAGAAAAGATCATTCCTAATGGGGAAAGGGACTCATTTATCAGTACGCACTTGTGCCTGTGATAGATTATAAGGCTCCTGCAACTTATTCCAAGTCCAGATGCATATTTCCTTGCAATGGGAGAATCCATCTCCCATTCTTAAATGTAAAATCTATTTCTTCTCCCTCTTGAATGCTAGTTGCCTTTAGAACTTGCTTCAATCAATAAAATATGCCGGAAGTGACAGTGGGACTTGAGTGGTTTTAGCTTTTGGATGCCCTGAGCCTCCCACATAAGGAAGCCCAGACCAGTCTCCTGGAGAACGGTGACCACAGAGACAGGAAGTCCTCACCCTCCTTGTAGAACAAACCATCCCCACTGAGCTCCCAGGGAGCCAGCTGGGACCAGTCAGCCCGTCTCCCTATTCCTCGTCCTCCGCCATGCATGGGCCCAGGTTGGACCAGCAGAGAAACCTCCCAGCTAAACATGGCTCACATGGTTTTTATTTCAGTCTACTGTATTTTGAGATACCTTTTCATATGAGCATAGATCATGGAAACATAACTAAGGTAAGATAATAAGAATACGTTTGAATGGTAACATTATCTAGACAATAAAAGCAGGTATGAAAAGAATTTATGACATCATCTCTCTCCTCTAAATAGAGTTGATCCTACACCATTTGGTGTTCATTTTAACTAGAGATACATACAAATCTTTTAATCATAGATATGGTATCATTTACATGGAGCAAGCTCCAACTTCAGGGTTTCATTAATTTCTGCTTCGTTTATATGACCAGTATAGGGCCAGAGCATCTGTGTGTGACACAGGGTCTTGGGGAATATTTCAAGCATAATGCTGGGAGTTCACAGTGAATTTGAGCTGAAACCTCCAAGTCTCTGATCCCAGGAAATCTTTTTGCCATTTAATGAGAGATACTCACCTGTCTTAGTTACTGTCCTTGTCCCTGGTACTCAGTCCCTGACCCCCACAAGTTACAGGAGGAGAGGTTTATGGCTCACAGGTACAGTCCATGGTTGGCCTGCTGCAAGGCATGACGGTGTGGCAGAAGGGTGCGGCAGAGAAAAAACTGTTCAAGTCATGGTGGACAGGGAGCAGAGTCAAGAGAGGGCCAGGGAAGGGAGATAAAACCTTCTGGGTCAGGCCCTCAGTGACCAGCTTCTTCCAGCTAGCTGCCTCACCCTAACAACAAGTCAGCTATCATGCCCCTATAATCCAATCGCCTTCCCAAGGTCCCACCTATGAGAGGCCTCATTGGGGGTTTTAGGGGGAAACTTGACCTAAACTATAATAACCCCTCTCATCATATGATCAGTTTCTAGGAGACCTCCAAGTTACTCTGGAGCAAATAACGTTCAGAAAAAGGGATATGGAAGCAGAGTGAGTGGTAACAAGACATTGCAGGACAGGCTGACCCGAGCAATCCAGACCTCACCCTGTCTGGGTCAACTTGAACATCTCAGAGGGATTTTTGTGTGCAGGGGCTCAGAAAATCACTGAAGTCTTTCCCAGCCACAGTGACATATACAAAGCAGGTTGCTGTTCTTTGAGCAGCACAAGTCAAGTGTTCTTCCCAGTGGTCCTGCTAGTTTCTGCTGTGGAACTGACCACAGGCAGAAGAGAAGGCTGAAGTAACTTTGTGCAGTGAAGACCAGACTGCATTCTCTCCAAAGGCCAAAAGGAAGATCGGCATTAGAAAAGTTAACCCACAGGCTAGTGGGAAAACAGGAGGGGAAACCTGCATGAGTGGGAGCACAGGCTGCTGTGCAGAGTCTAAGGTTCCTCCTTGCCCTCTTCAGCTCAGAGCTGGAGCCATTGCCCTAATGTGCTAAAGGGAGACTAATCCTTTTAGTTAAGCCGCTCTCACTCTCCCCTCTGTTCTCTCTCACTCTCCCCTCTGCTAAGAGCAGAGATGGCTCTGGTTTCTGAGTTCTGCTTTTCCTGCATGATACCAGTGCTCTGTGTGGGAGGAAGAGAACGGGAGAGGCTGCCACCATTGCCCAGTCATGGGCACTTGCAGCTGTGACAGGTAACCCACCTCTTGAGCCTACCCATCAGGCAAAAGCACTTACGAGGTTCCCAGGAGACCCAGGCAGAAAGTATAGCCTGCTAGAGAGGTGATCAAGAAAAAGGAAGCCAGACTCCGGTGCTGATCTGCTGCATGATTTCAGCCTGGTTAATTATATTAACATTTTCAAAGCACGTTACACTTTATAATATGTCTTCAAAGCACATTGAAATTAATCCTGTCAACACGTCCAACATATACGATCTCATGACTCTTATTTAAAAGACGAAGAAACTTAGGCCCAGAGAGGCAGTGATTTTCCCAAAGCCACACAGCAAACGGAACCACAATCTGTTGCCTTCAAGCCCTTGACTTTCCTCATCAAACTTTGACCCTCTTGTATGTTAACTTCTCTGAGCCTGAGTTCCATCATCGTTAAAATACTGACAGTTTTACTGGGTTCTTAGTCTGTGTGAGGTAAAAATGTTACCTGTGTTTTCTCCTTTACATAACCCATGGACAGGAGCTACTTTTGTCTTTGTTTTACAGATGAGACAACTGAGCCTCAGCGAGATGAGGAGCCTGCCTGAGCCGCAGGGTGCGCTCCTGGCCACTTCACTGTATAAGTTCTTATGTGTCACAGGAAATGATGCTTTTCAGCCACCTACCAAACCAGTGACCCTGGAGATAAAACTAGATGGTGGAGTTAAAAGACTTTTTGGAAGTCAAATGTGTGGCATAAGAATGTGTACTCCTAATCAAGATGGTAGGAATTCAACAGTGCTTGTTATATTGCATATTATTGCCTTCATATTAGTTGTTCAGATTACCAGATACAAGCATGCAAAATTGATCCAAAAAATAAAGCACTAACTGTTCCTTTCGATAATTTCCTATCATCTTGTTTGGAAATTCTGTATCTTTTTCATTGTTTTTGTGTTGTTCTGTTTTTATCTTTGTTGTTGCTGCTTTTGCTTTCTTTTTCTCTTTAAAATAAAAAAAAAATCTGTACCCCTGAAGATAACGAAGATCAAAAGAACTCTTAGAAATGTATACAATAAAATCCCATATCTTCACTGGCATGAAACAGCAGAGTCAGGTATATAAAGAAGTTGCTAGAGCACACATCCCGAAAGACTTCCCAAAACAGGTGTGTTTTGCCTAAATTCCTGGCATTGCTAGCATTGAATATGAAGGAGACATTTCAAGCAAACCCTCGGCAGGCAGGAGCGAAAATCTTAAAGCCATAGAAATGACCTGTGTGTGTGTGTGCATGTGTGTGTGTGTGTGTGCGTGTGACAATATAGACTACATTATCATAAGCACAGACCAAAACTTATCTGAACACTTTTTGCTGCCACAGTCCTCAGTTCCCTGAGGAATAAAAATGCACTCTCTGATCTTGGCATTGGCTCTTGCTCTCGCTTGTGGGACTCTTCCATGGACTTTTATGTCTTTGTTTATTTTGTGTGTTTCATGAGTGGCCCATGCCTTTAAAGGAAATTCACCAGCCCCAGCCTGTCATTATGGCCCTGTGCTTGCCCAGTGCCTGGGATGGGTGAGCCTGGGCTTTTAATTTGCTGTGACAGGAAATAATTGTTGCTTGAGTTTCCACCTCTGAAAATAAACCCGGGTGGTGCTTCCCAGCTGGGAATCCACAGAGGCAAGCTCACCCTGGGGCCTATGCCAGGGGAGACTTAAGCCAGGTCTGGAACTATTGGTCTCGGTGTCCCTCATCCCTTTCTTTTTGTGGCTTGCAAAACATACAGTTAGTGTTTTCTCTAAGAGCTCAAGCTGGCCAAGTTAAGAAAGTTCAGTGGGACTATATGATAGTGCATACAAGAATTTCTGGGGGTGGGTTTTATGAAATTTCAGATTCAAGGGATATTACCACCCCCCGGCCTAATCTGTTTATAGCTATATTCAAGTTCCAGAAAATCACATATAAAACGGTAAGAATCTCAATCACTTTAGAGAAAAAGAAGCTGACATTCCTTCCAGCACAGTCTTTAGTGATGACTGAGTTTGTTGCAGGTATAGCAGTGGGAACACAATAGAAATGAGAGTAAGGTTTTGGGTGGCCATAACACCTAGTTTTGCATCCAATCCCTTCATCAGCTACAATGTGATGTGTATGCAAGAACTTACAACTGTTCCTGGTACATAGGCCTCATATTCATTCAGTTTATCACTTAACATTTCTGTTGTTGTTTTAGTCAGTTGCTTAAAAATTACATTTCAATTTTTTTCAGTACCACTACTTCATTTAATCTTCCCCGTAACTCCATGAGATTGGTGATATTGTCTCTAAACAATAAATTTAATCAAGTGGAGGAGCTGGGATTTAAACCCAGAATTTAAAAAGGGAAGTCTCCAGTCTTAGTCTGGAGAGAAGTGGATCTTGTCATCCAATTCCAAAACCTCCACAGTTCCTAGGAAGGGAGAAGAGACTATCTTAACTCCCCTTGGCCTATTCAGAAGCCTGGTAGGTTTGAACTTGATAGGGGCATTAGTAAAGAAAGGTAGGATGACACACAGCATAAGTCATCTCCTGAAGATAAACACATGTGCTGGAATCTTGTGGTGAAATAAATGAGATGCGTTTCAATAATGAATGTTCATTTTGCAGATCCAACATGGTGGCCAAAGATCGGTAGCCCTTGCTCTCTGGCCAAAATGGTCCCCTGAAGAAGGATACAGACTTGGGCTCCAAACCAGTCATTCAACACAAGTCTACATCTTTTTCAGTAAGTTAAACTTTCTCTCAGGCATCTTATCTTTATATACCTTCACTGGGTGATGTAGTAATTTTTGACTCAAGGAAAAAAAATCATAGTTAAAATGAGACTTGCAACAAATGACAGGACTTCATTCTTTTATATGGCTGTGTAATATTCTACTGTGCATACAACATCACATTTTCCTTATCCATTCATTAATTGGTGGACGCCTAGGTTGATTCCATATCTTGGCTATTGTGAATAGTGCTTCAGTAAACAAGGAAATGCTGATACAGCTTCAACATACTAATTTCCTTTCCATTTGAATTCTACCCAAGAGTGAGATTTCTGGGTCACGTAATAGTTTTATTGCTAGTTTCTTGATGAGCTTGCTTGGAGGACATTATTTTAAATAAAATAAGCCAAGCATGGAAATGCAAATACTTCATGTCCTCACTCATATGTGGAAGCCATAAATTGATCCTGTATAAGTAGAGAGTAGGATAGTGATTACCAGAGGCTGGGAAGGGGTAACAGAGAGAGGTTAGTTTTGGAGTACAAAAATACAGCTAGGAGGAATAAACTCTAGTGTTGCACAGCACAGTAGAGTAACTACTACTTGCAATAATTTATTGCATATTGCAGAATAGCTAAAAGAAAAAACATTGGTAAATATTTGAGATGATACGCAGGCTAGTTACCCTGATTTCATTACTTTGTATACACATACTGAAATGTCACATTGTGTCTCATAAATATGCACAATCATTACATGCTAATTAAAAATAAAAAACTTTCCATGAATCTTAGTCATAAACAGAGATACTGAGAACAAGAGTGTTTTCTGGACTTTGGCATGATGCCAAAGACCAGAAAGTTTTGTGAATTAGCCCATTTATTTTGCTTTTTGTTTGTTTGTTTTGGGTGGTTTTTTTTTGGTACCAGGAATTGAACTCAGGACCTTATGCCTGCCAGGCAAGCACTTGTGCCACTGAGCTGTATCCCCGGCAACCTAGCCCCTTTCCTTTAGAATGTTAACCCTTAAATTTGGCTAGAGAATTAAGTCCACTGTTTAACATTATCTTTCATTCATTCAACAAATATTGCTTAAGTAGCAAAGTGAGGTTAGGTTCTGTAAAGGAGGCAAAGATCTCCTTCCCCGAAAGCAACTTTGATTCAGTAGGGGAGAGAACACTCCAAGGGAGAGAAGAGCCAAGCTCTTCTTCCTCCTGGACTCAACTCCACATGCCAAACGCAGGGCCTTGTCTTATCCCAAATAAAGGCTTCTTGTGTGTCCATTGCTAGAAATGGTACCGGGGGCTGGGGAAATGATCTCTATCAAAGAGACCCACATTCATTATCCAAACTGGGCCTTTGGAGAGTACAGATGAAACATGGACACTATCTAGGAGCATGGGCACAAACAAAGGCCTTCTCAGGACAACTGAAACCTGTGGCCACTCATTCTCCCTGTCACACCAGTGTCTGTAGCTTTGCCACACACTCTATAGATGTTTTACTCATGCTGCGTTTACATTTTCTGCCCGAGAGGAACAAAGGAAAACCATCACCAAATAATGATTGCCTGCCTAGAAATATAAAGACAAGCATCTAGGGATTCAAAGAAAGAAGTGGTTTAGGAACTTGAACTTCCACCAAACTGACTCAACCACTGCATAATCCAAAGGCCCCAGTTTAGGGGAGACTTCTCTGAAGCCTGGCTGGTGGCATTCTAGGGATGGAGTAAGAAAATCTTTCCAGTAAAGATTGCATTTGTCTTAATCTGTACTGATTTGCTGCTGCCCATCAAAAGGTCTTATTTACAACTACAGTAATTTGCTTCCTGCGATGCCATGAGAGATTCCTCCCTGGACTTCAGAACACAGTATCTGTAGATATTTGTCTTCAGGCTAGCATAGCAGTTTTCCCTAATGCAACTGATCTTTCTCTGAAAAGATGGTTTTATAAAGCTTGCGCCAACATTTATTGACTTTTTTGGACTAGGGTCTGCCAGGAAATTGCAGCCACCGGTGTAAGTGGACTAATCAGGGCCTATGAATTGCTGTCTACCCTAATATCCGCTTTCTCAGAGATCAAAGCCATGTGGCGGGAGAGGCAGACTTTCTGCTACTTTTCTTGCATCCTCTTCTGATCTGAGTGATTTATCACTTGAGTGTCATAATCAGGTCGAGGCCTTTTTACTTCAGCTTCCTGGCACCACGCTGTTGAGTATTGGATGATTTAATGGTTTGAGTTTGTATTTAATCTGCCTATAAACAACCTTGTGCGTTTTTTAAAAAGTTTTTCTTATGAAACTCTGTGAAATGGAAGGATGGGGTACTTGAGAATTCCGAACAGTCTCACTTTGTCTGATTTTACAGGGAGGGACCAGCATGCTGTGGTGGGGAAGGAACCCGCAGGGAGTGGTCCTAAGGGAAAGCAGTATGAACAACGAGGCTTTGGGACACCAGCTCTCCTGCTCCTGGCTCACCCTTGTATTATTGGGAAGAACACCTGCAGTACTTCCACAGGTGGAAAAACCTCAAATGCAAGGCCCTAACATTAGGGTTCCTCTATCTCCCTACTAACCTCAAATAATAAATTACAACAGTCTAAGCACTGTCTCTTACTATACTGTCCCTGCCAGGAAAAGTGTCTAATTTGAGTCCAGATCCCAAAGAGCTAGGTCCTGGAAGCAGAACTGAGCATGTGGGGGCAGCTCTGTAGAGCAGGGCTGTAGACCAGCCTTCCTGGTGCCTTGACCAAGACACAGAACCCCCGAAGCCCAGTGGGATTACATTTCTCCCCACTGCCGCTCCATGGGTTTCCTAGACTCTTGCCCTAAGGAGTGCTTACCGTGGCCTTTGTCCTGCTATCTGATGTTCCCAGGGCCGGCCTGGCCTGTCTGGTCTCATCTAGATCCGTAGTACCTTCTTCAGAGTGAATATTCCCCATAGTGAGCATGCAGTGTGTGGATGCACAGATCACCAGGTACTTTCCATACCAGGGAACTGCCTGGTATGCAGCAGTAGCTCAGTAAGTATTTGTAGATGAAAAGAGAAATGAATGAATGAATGAAGTGTGAAATTCCAGTCCTGTTTTCCAGGGAGAGTCTGGAACCCTGATTCAGACTGAGGCAGTGGATACCAGGGGTGGTTTGAGCCCTCACCGCCTACTCCCGTCTGACACTTTGGGAGGAGAGGCCAGAGGCAAGAAAGGAGGAAGTGGCATGGGCTGGGGTTGTTTCTCCAGTACTGCCACTGCCAGGCCAGGCAAAGGCCCCTTGTGAACAGGACAGAGGAAGGCACATAACCTCTGCAGCCCTGGAGAAGGGCAAGCAACCTTGGTGTCTCTCCACTCAGTGACTTTGGAAGATGTTAAGATAAAAGATGTCAGCAGTTCTTCGTTAAGACCTGTGGAAGAGCAAATTTGACATCCAGAGATCATTTTGCTTTCTGGTAGCCTTAAAAGAATCAATTCCCTCTTTTCTCGGAACAGGACTGCCCTCCGAGTCCTTTGCGCCTCCTAGGTCCGCGAGAACCAGAGTTGCTTCAATACAGTGTGGGGGTAAATCGCCTTCCTAGGCATGCCGGACTCCCAGTGTGTTCAAATGCTCAGGGTGGGTGAGGCTGGGAGATTTCGCCCAGAATTCACCAGATCTGGAGTTACCTGAACTTCTAAAAGGGGCTTGCCTGGGCAATCAAGCACTTCCACGTAGGGAAAGGAAAAGCCCGGTGCCCTTTTCAGGATCAGTCTCTGGAAACCACTAAACTCTCATATTCTATGACAGGCAGAGATGTGTTTAAAAAAAAAAAAATACTCAGAGTGAAGCCAACAAGAATGAAGCAAAGTGAAGCACGTTGCCAACAGGACTGAATTAGGTAATGAGAAAGACTCCATTCCTTGCCAGAGCTGAAGCAGGAAATAATTTATTTTCCTTTAACTAATCTCTTTGTTTACATCAGTCCTTCTCTTCCATAAGATTGGCTCAGAGAAAGCCTGTTTTGTGTTATAATTTGTTTTATTTTTTCACTTTGGCCAAAGTATTTCATCCCACTGAGGCTTAGCGCCTGCACCCCCATAGCTGAAGCTACTCTTGTCATGCACAGCAGACTTGCGGTGGGGGGGAGGTGCAGATGGGGTCCCAGGTGGGATGAACTTGCCCACCTGTGGGCTGCATCCAGGTGGGCTGGCCTCTCTGTGCTGCCACTGGGGTCGTGTGTGGCCTTTTCACATTCCTATCCCCAGCTCACAGCACACTGCTCAGTGGGCACTGAACACAGCAGTGAAGCGGGTGGGGGAATAGAGGAGGAAACAGGGGAGCGGGAGGAGAATAAAAGTGCAGTGTACACCATGGTTCACAAGCTAGCTGCCTAGGGATGAGGGGAAGTCTGTCCTCCTGTTACTATAGCTCGGAGCTTTTAGGCCCATCCAAAGCTTGTTTCAAGAAGTGAGAGTTGGCCATGGCATTCTAGATCTGGAGGCAAACTGGACCCATTTTACCTCTTCTTCTCCCAGACCCCTCCTGGGAAGCAGGTGAAGTCCTGCTCTTTTCATGGGGCATTTCTCACTCTCTCAAACTCAAAGAGCTCCCTGGTAGGATCTGGTTTCTTCACAGGGCAAGATTACTGGGCAGGAGCTCTTCCATTTCTCACCATTTTCAGCCAAGGGTGGGGAGAGGAGGCCTCAGAACCAGGGTTCACAGGAGAATTAGGATGGCACCCCTCCCACATGGAACCCTTTCCTTGGCAATCTGCTCTCTCCCTGGGAGTGTTCTGACCATATCAAAGCCCAGTCCATCTGAATAACTAAGGCTGTATATGGAGCACAGCAGATGCCTTAGATGAAGAAAGCGGCTTGCCTTGTGTGAAAACCAGAGATCTAACTTCATATACAGTGTGTGCGTGCATGTGTTTGTGTGTGTGTGTGCGCGTGTGTGCGCCTTAAACTAAGAGAAGAAAATTTCTGTTCTTTTGGCTCAGGCAAAAATAAAACTGTTTTTAAAAGGCCTTATTTAAAAGGTTCAT